GAGCGGAAGTGGTCCATGCGAACGTCAATGTGCTGGTTGACGAGCTTGTTGCCAACCTGTGCGTAGTAGTGCTCGTATCCGTAAGTGTCGCGTTGCCAGCTGTCGAAGTTGACAGGGATGGACTCGTCAAGGCCGACGAAGTAGTAGGCGGCCATGATACGGACAGCCGCATCGTCGAGACGCCACTGGGGAACGGTACCGTTGAGGATGGAGATGGTCAGGTTGGTTCCCCAGAAGGACTGGCCAGAGTTGAAGTCGGTGTCACCGGGCATAGTCATGTCCAGACCAGCAAGGGTGGAAGAGACACCAGAGTGTTGAGCATCCCAATCAGAGACGATGAAACCTTGGAAGCCAAGCTCGCCCTTCAGGATGTAATTCTGGAGGTACGAGTTCTGGCAGACCTGGGAGTTGTTGACCTTGTTGTAAGAGCACATGATGGATCCAGTTCCAGCACGGATGGCGTCGGCGAAAGGCCACAGGTAGAGCTCGTGCAGAGTCTTGTCATCCAAGTTGGAGCTGATGGCATCGACAAAGCCAAAGTCCTCGAAGTTACCGGGCTGGCGGAAGTGCTCCTGCTCGTTCATGATGAAGTGCTTGGTGCAGGCAATGACACCAGCGTCCTGGATACCGCGGACGGTGTCGGCGACAGCATGACCAGTCAGGACTGGGTCAGGAGAGAAACCTTCCCAGTTACGCTGGGCAGATGTTAGTGAATGTTAATGCGATCGGATCATACAACTTACTCCACCCTTGGGATGGCGACCGAGAGGACCGATCGCAGGGCCTAGTTGCACATCGACACCCTTTGCGCGGTGCTCCTGACCCATCTGGTAACCGCGGCGGTAGAACTCGCCACGATCCCATGATGCAGCGATAGTGCCACCTGCGGGGAAAGCAGAGACGTAATCGGCGAAACGGATGCCCAGAGGGCTGTCTTGCAAACAGAGAGGGTCGAAGTCGAGACGGGGGATGGCACCAACGTTGCCAACGCAGGCGTCACTCTGCCATCCAGTTCCGGTGGTGAGGTTCACCTTCTCGATGAGAGTAAGCTGGCTGACAAATGCCTTTGCCTTTGTGATGGCATCAGCCCAGTCGCCGGTGGTGTCCTCTGCCCAGCTATTTTCGAGTCAGCAATTGTGTTCCAGATGTGAAGTTCGGCCGTGTCGCGATGCAACTGCCGCATGTGAAAGCTTGGTGGAGCCGGCGCTCCTTCGCTCTTCCCCACACCTGTCAAGCCCACTTCTACGGCTAATGACTTGTAAAATGCCGAAATTTGTACGTACGGGCTGGGGTAGTATGGAGGACTCTCAGCAAAGTTCAATGGACTGCTGGTGTCGTTGGAGCCCGTGTTGTTGGAATACTTGTTTATGATCAGCGTAAGCTCGTAAACACAGCTGCAGGGGTGAATTGTACTGCGCGCAGAAAGGGGAAGAGGCCAACAACAAGATGCGCAAGATCGCGTAGCATCTCTGCAGCTTGATAACAAATATCTTGCAGTGCCAACGGCGTTGTGGTGCGTAATTAGAGAATGTGCAAACATACCTGGGCGTGGGCAAGGCCCGCAAACAATGCTTGTGCAAGCCACAGCATGATGTCCGGCTGGCTGGGAAACGCGGCGATTGGGATACAAGAACACAGTAATATATATCTACTGTGGTAGTATGCAAGTAGGAGTTGAGAGCGCTCGCAGACACAGGCCTAAAGTCCCGGGCGCCATGACAGCTTTATTCACAGCCGCGAGCAGCAAGTGACATGGGCAGGGCATAGCTTCCCCAGCGCCCAGCTACCCGTCCCCTAGCACCATGCGCCGTCACGACCCCAGGCGCAAGCGGCTGCCTCTTCTTCTGCGGGGGACGTGTGCAGAACCTGCTGATCCCCGCCCCTAAGCCCTCAATGACTCGATGGAGCGCACCCCGGTGCCTCCGCTGTGTTCTTCTGGCCCCGATGTTTCCTTGGAAGCCCCATCACATGGTCCGTCTCCAGTCAAGACTGCTGCGCATATGCAGCGACCATCGACTTCTCGCAGCTGCATCACGTCAGGGTAGCTCCACAAGCAAAAGAAGAAATATTGCTTCTCTCCCGTCTCCCTTGAGCTACGTGCACGGGCGCGTTGAATGACCCTGGCCGTGTCCATCGTCATCTACCTACGTCAACCCCGGACGTGCATATAAGCTCACACTCAAAAGCCCTTTCCGAGCGCCACAGAACAGCCAAGCTCGCAGTGGGAGGTGCGTGAGGCGCCCTGTCTCGCTGGCTCAAGACGTCCAAGCCCAGGGCAAGACACCCAGTGCGGGGTTGGTGTCGTATTCGAGCTTCCATGCTTCCGTCTTCAACTGCGCCGCAAAGTCGCAAACCTTGGTCTCTAGCATCTGCTCAGTAGCGTCTGCTGTGAGGTCCGACATTCCGTTGGGCTGAGAAATCGGCGGTATAGCTCCTCGGGGTAGACCCCAGTATTACCTGGAGCACCCGCATTATACATTGGCGAATCCTCGGGAAAACTCTTTGAGGACATGCTCCCGTTTTGCAAGCTCACATTTACGTCCGGACCGTTGCCTCGGCGTGTGCTGTCGAGCAACTAGCAGCCGACCAGGTGCGCTTGAGAGCTTTTCCACCGGATGATCTAGTAAGCACCAGGACGCTCTCGTGGGCCGCCCCACTCGGCAGGTGGTACAACGAAAGTCACTCACGTCACTGATCTAGTCTGAGTAACTTGACCCCGATACTGACCCATTTGTGCTACACCTTTTCTCTCAGAGCAGCATCGCGTCAATACCAAGCGGATACACGAGCCGACGGTACGTTGTTCGGCATGTCGTCGACCATCCGCCATGCTTGGCTGTGTCTCTCAATTGGTCACTACGTTGAAAACGGTACAAAGTACCCTGAATGTCAAAAGTACCTCGCGGTACACCGATAGTCTGCGATCCCTACCCAAGAACATCGCTAGCCACGTTGGCTCCGAGTCCTAAGAATACCAGCAATATCCGAGTACCCGTTTTCCAGTGTGACGATCGCAACTTAAACAACGTAGTCGCGGTGTGTTAGCTTCGCGCTTTCAAGGCACATCGCTGGTGGTGGTCAATCTAGATGTCGTCGTCCTGTGCAAGGACTTGCATGAGTCGTTCACGCTATATACCCCGCTCCGCGTGGAAATAGCACCTATTACGTCTAGCCTGCAGAAGTCTACCAGGTTTCGGCGTATGAACGTATGAGCGTATTTCGGGTGAGGACGACCGTCTGCGCCACATTTCACGATGCCGATGCAAGAGATTGGAGCTCTCTCTTGGGGTTGTGCCCAACGGCGTAGGCTTACTCAACATCATCTCGGTGCGGTCAGATTGAATTGCACCGGGCCGTCATGTTATATCCGCAGTTGAGCCTAGCCTATAGCCGAGCCTTTCGAGATAACTTGGATCACATATCACGTATTACATTGAACTTTTCACTCCGTCGAAATACTGAACTTAGATTGTGGAGCCTGTTCTTCTCCTTTCGAGCCTAAATCCGATCAAGTCTAGCATGTCTTTGATGCAGCGCCATACGGACTTTCAGCAGCTGGAGACGACAATCGATCGCTTTCGGAGATGCGCCTTCATACGTGTGCGTGGCTCAGGGTCTGGCTAGCTTCGAGAGTTGCGGCATTGATGACGAAGCATGTCTGGTTTCCAGCTGGTGAGGAATCGCGAACAGAAAGATTTTGAGCTTCACAGCAACATCAGACAACTTGTCTGACTCGGGGCTGTAATCACATCTGAGGAAGAGCATTGAGCTACACAACTGGACGCCTGCCCTTCGTGCCGGTACGCGCCATGATCTCTAGGATACAAGACGATGGCCAGGTGACCTTCATCAGATGGTAGCGACAAGAAGCGGATCCAGCAACTGTTTCTTAGTAGGCGTACCGCGACACAGGTTCGGATGATGGATTTCGAGTGTGAAAGCTAGCGAAAGATGAAGCCCCAGATGGCGCTAAACCTCGTGCGGGGTTGGTGGAGCTTCTAGAGTAGGCCGCCTGCTGGCTGTGCACGACATCGCACCCTCAACGGATGCAGCTCTCTGCTATCGAAAGGGCGGAATGTCCTATGTTTCGAGGTTCTGTTGTTGTGCCCCTACCAGAGTCACATGGCTGAAGGGCGAAGGCTCGTGATCTGACGTCATGGTCAGCCCTCACCACGCTCTCACAGTACTACACGAGTCTCGGGACATTGATTGATCAATCAGCATACGTGAAGAGGTCGATCAAATACGTCTTCAGGCCACAGTCTCATTGAAGCTAGAAGATGTCTGGTATCTGTGGGGTACTGTGATGATGTCTCGTCGAAGCCAATGACTGTCAGCGCCGCAAGGCTGGCTGCCTGCAGGCAGCACCACTGCGCCTTCCGTTGAGTCAACAGCCTTGAGTCAAACCTCGCACATTCAACTAGATGCTGTTCTCTATTTAAGGTATTCTCCTTGAGAGCTTGATGCGTCACAGTCGCATAAGCCATCTCGTTCGCCATGGGTTCCAAGTTCTCTCGAGCGGTACGGCCGCAAGTGAATGCTGTTGCCTCGCCAGTCGCAACTGCCCGACATCACGACATTGACCATGCAAACGCACAAACGCAATGCCAAGAGGCCACATCACGGGTCTCAGACCCTTATTGTTACGACGATATCAACGTTGCAACCTCTACCACGGTACCAATTATTCCGCAAAGACGCAACAGCGCGCCCGCAACAACGTTCGCAAATCTTGCACCTTCCATCGCTATGGAACAAGCCCCAAATATCACCACTTCGTTCCTTCTCTTCCTAGAAGAGCGTCGACTCATGTCTATCCAACACGATCATGCCGACCCTGAACCGCCGCCCGCGACTACCATGCCCCCGCCTCCTCCACCGCCAGCAAAGCCTACTCTTACCTTACCATTACCAGAAGTACAATGTATTATATGCTGTACGGAGTTACCAGGTGCCAAAAGCTCGAAGCACTCAAAGGAGGTCGTGAAGCCATGCAGACAATGTGGCAGTACATACTGTGGGTCGTGCATCAAGAGGATGTTCACAGAATGCTGCAAAGATACCACGCGCATGCCTCCAAGGTGCTGCGGACAAATACAAATTCATTACGCGAAACCGCATCTGACGAAGGAGGAGTTCACAGAGTTCAAATCCAAGTACGAAGAGTGGCTCACACCAAATCCATTCTATTGTCCAGTGCCAACATGCTCGGCCTTCATTCCAGAACGACTGCTGCCCGAACAGGCAACGAAGAAGCAAGGGAAGCGCGTTGACTCTGGTGTTGGAACGCCAACGTTGAACGTCTTTGCGTGTCCAACCTGCTCAGCTGAGATCTGTCTCGAGTGTCGGCAAATCGCTCATCCGGACGCTATATGCAATATCTCTGAATTCGGCATCGATGCAGAAACTACGGAGCTACTGAAGAGCTGGGGATATAAGAGGTGTCCGAAGTGCGGTCATGGACTGAAGCGGATGTACGGTTGTCTACACATGGAGTGTCGGTGTGGAGCGCACTTCTGCTACATGTGTATGGAAGAGCCGGAGGGCTGCGGTGGAGCGTGTAATGAATATGAGGAAGACGACGGCAGTGACGGCAACATCACAGAGTCTGATGAGGGCGAGTCTCCATCTGGCACGAACAATGCATCGGCGCTATCCAACGAGACATCTCAAGTACAAGAGACGGTTGGCGCAGCAGCGATATCTACGCCACAGTCAGCTCCTCCACGTAATCTTGACGCTGGAGGGCCTCGTTACTGGGAGAATCAAGACCTAGACTTTGGTGAAGAGCCAGGGGAAGACTACCAGGACCGCTCATGGAACTGTGACCACAGCTTCGAAACCTACAGAATCCCCCTCGCAAAAGCTCTAATCAACGATTCTGCGGCTGAGATGGAATGTGTAAAATGCTGGTGCTCGATACATCCAGAGATCGAAGCACCGAACACCGCAGTCAATGAGATGAAGGCAAAGACCGTACCCGCAGGTATAGTACGAAGAGCCGGTCGAGGGTTCAGGAGGGGTAACGGACCAGGGCGAGGGCGCGGTCGCCCACGCGGCGCATACGCACCTCCTCGCGGTCTCTTCCAAGCTGGTGATGCCATTGGAACAGCGCCCCATCTTACTACTTCCTTCGCCCCGCCGCTATCTGAAAGCGTGCCCATTCGCGAAACCTCGCCCATGGAGGATGTTCAGTACTCTTCCGGCCGCGTGGTAGATACCTACGGCAACATTATCGCGACATCAGAGGTTGAGCTTCGGCGCCGGGCATCCGATGCATCTTTCGTCACTGATGTCGTTCCTCCGCGAGTGAACGGAAAAGCTCAAACTACCTTCAACACCCCATCGACTATCTTCTCCATGAAGTTCAGTCTCGCCCATGAGTGCGTCAACTGCGCCTTACTCGTGTGCGCATCGTGCAAAGACGGTATCTTGGCTGCTGAAGAGGGGAAGTAAGAGCCCTAAACCTTTCTGTACCTCTTACTTTACACGGAGCTTTGCAGCATTTATTAGCGTGGGGAATTTGACGTTCAACTACAGGGGCGTTACGGGTATACGGCTTTCCTTTCCGTAGTTTCAAGACGCTTTTCAAATGCGAAGATTTGAACATTTATATATCGAACGGCGTATAGCAAGTAATTGAAGCACCCTTCTATGCACTTCAAAACGATGAATAGTGCTAGAGAACATCATGGGGTTGCATGTGTATTGTGTAGAAGTCTTGCGGCGATGTATGTGTCTCGGTCAGCGATTACATGCTTCCTTAAACAGCTACTGCGCATTGAAGTGATTCACGCCTCGTCCTCGTAGTATGATTGAGTGGTTATGTCGAGTTGCATCATCTTTGTTTAAGGAAGCGACGTCAATCTGTCCATGGCTCTATGGCCCTGCTGTCTCGGTACCTTTGTTCACCCCTATATATGCTACATGCCTACGACTTCAGACGTTCTTCACTTCTCACACACTGAGTGCTGAGCTGTCTCATGATACTTCATAGACCCAATTTGACATCTAGAATTCTAGCGTGCGTCGAGATAACATGGATACCACCCGTCCTTCATACAAGCATCTATTAGTGACAAGAGCGTGACGGTGTCCTCAAGATACATGCAATCATCAGTTACAATTTTTTATTCTTGTTCATAGAAACGTACTACCACACACGAGAAGACCAACTGGGGAATCAAAACACTTGCAAAGGTTGAGCTCAAGTTCACTACATTCGTGGTACCGGTAGATGTAAGTATTTTAGCCTGCCGACATCTCTGTTAGAGATTCCTTGATATTGTGCTTTCGCTCTCCGTTCGCTCGTCCCGTCGTGAGATAGCTTATTCATTCGTTCATTTCATCCACACTTGACTGTCAGATGCAGGTATGTCCTGTTTTCAGGCCGAAACCAAGGTTGACGCAATCTATGCGCCCAGGCTGGGGAAGGCGCTGGAATCGGTGATGTTGATGTTGGACTGGGCACCGCCGCGGCCTCCACGACCACGGGCCTCGCCACGTCCACGACCCTCACCGCCACGGCCACGTCCGCGGAACTCGCCACGACCTTCGCCGCGACCACGTCCCTCGCCACGGAATTCACCGCCGCCACGGCCACGACCGCGGAACTCGCCACGGCCTTCGCCACGGCCGCGTCCTCCTCGGCTACCGCCCTCACGGGGAGGGGGAGCAAGCATGCGGTCACCGTCAAGCTCGACGTGGACCTTCTCCTTGCGGGCGCGCTCGCGCTTGGCCTTGCCTTGGGAACCGGCCATGAAGTCCTCTTGCTCCTCACGGGCGAGAGCAGTGCCCTCGGGGAACTTGGTGCTGCTACCCTCGTTGGCCTTGCGGACGTTCTGGGCGGCGAGAGAGAGCTTCTTCTCGGCGAGCTCAGCGAGGTAGGCGGCGTAGGACTTGCTCTTGTCCTCAGGCTCGGCATCAGCCTCGCCCTCAGCGTCCTCCTTGATAGCGTCCTTCTCTTCAGCCTGAGCCATGGCCTCTCCAGCCTGCTCGTCAGCCAACTCGGCATCGCCGTCCTTTCCGCCCCAGCCGTGTGCGGCCTGCTTGTCGTGCTCGCTAGAGATCGTTAGATATGGCCGTGATGTGATATGGGATTTCTTACGCGATGCCAGTCCTGCTATGACGGTCACCCTGGGCAGCGCCTCCGCGACCTCCACGTCCACCGCGACCGCGGCCACGCTGTCCACCACGAGATCCAGTGCCGGTAGGCTCTGTAGAACGTCAGTATAGGTACGAATCGACCAGTGACAGGGCACTCACCGCCAGATCCCCTGCCGCGGTTCTTGTCAGAGCCGACGCCGCGATCCCGGAATGCTGTGCTGCGTTAGCAATTGTCCATTGAACCTCCCGCGAGAGTGTAGAGCATGGGGTTTGCTCTTTGTATCCGACGTACCGTTGTCGTTGGCGTTGTCGGACTGCTTGGCACGGTTCTGGTTGCTCGTCCTCTCGGGCATGGGCTTGGGGGCATCGGCTCCATCGCGCTTGCCGTGCCTCATGACGGGCTTCTCAATCGCCCTCGTCGGTGGGTCAGCCGGCCTGTCGGGGTCGAGCTCGGGGTCATTGCCTGCGGGGTCGTGAGTGAGAGTTCGGTGCCTGTGCTGTGCGCTGCGACATACCCAGCAGCTCGTAAATGTTCTGTAGTTGCAATTAGCATCTTGTAGCTTTCTACCGTAGTGCAGGCTTCCTCGCAGCCCCCAATGGAAGGCGCGAAGCTGGACCTGATGGTGGGGTGAGTTGTAGCTTACCTTGGAAGCAATTTGCGACATCTTGACGGATTGGAGCGCCTTTCGCGCTTTGCCCTTCTAGATGCACAATCTGCCGGGAGAGAAAAAGAATGCGAGAGCTTGCCCTACAGGTTTTAGGGACGTGGCTCTCAGAAGTTGACTCGCGAACGGGGTGATAGCGCGATGTTGCGGGCACGAGGTTTTGGTCAATCGAAAATGGCCGTGGGTTGCTTCCGTAAGCGAGTGTAGTGGGGCTAAGACTATTGGAGGCACAAAGAAACATGAGCGCTGCGGTTCTTGCCGCATACAGCGCTTCACTCGATTCTTGTGCGAGTGCAGCTCAAAACAAAGTCTTGAGGCACACGGTATTCACTGTAACCAACCTGTTAGTTTGCAGCTCTTGCGCCGCTGGCGTGTCAATGTTGATTTGAATGCGCGTTCAAGCGCACGTCATTCCGAGGCTGTTTCACCCATGCAATGCTTTTTGTCAGGAAAAGCAATTGTGAATGCGTCCAATGCAGCTCCAGAATGCGACCGCATCGCTATAGTGTCGCAGGATGTGAAAAGGCCTGACTTGGCCTTGGTTAAAGAGCATGGGCGCTGTCACGGCGTTGTGGGAGTATGAGGGGGGTGCAACATTGACTCGATAGTTGCGGCCGACTGCATTACAATATGTACAAAGCATCGTCCCGCCTTCCAGTGTCACTAGACAGGCAGCGATGCCAGAGTGATGCGTATGGATGAGAAATATTCACCCGCGTCCATAGCAATAACCCCAAGCAATTTCCATCACAAATACACATGTCGTAAACCTGCCCCAGGTTGAATGATAACTTTTTTGTAGAATTCCCCCGTATCGAGACTCGTGGTCTCATGTTGAACGCCGTCGTACCGTCGTGACACATTGTCGATTGGGTAAAAGCAGTTGTTGCGCCCGCTAAACAACGTCATGGGAGGGTATCAGTCGGCGGTGATCCAATTCGGTCCCTGATAACTCCAATATAGCCCCCTCTTCCTATCCTTTCCTCGTATCATCATCTACTCTCATACATCGTGGGGAAGTGCATGCTGGCCGAGAGTCCAAAGGGGTCGGCGTCAAGCATAGGGTCGTACGGGTCGAAGAGGTGGTTGTTGCTCATGCCATTGTAGGCATGGCCTCCGTCGTTGGGCGCCAAAGCTGCTGGGCTCGTAAAGGGTGGGTTCTGCGAGGGCGGCATCGGTGGTGGCATGTTGTTCGACGGCGGGAAGTTCTGTTGCGGGAATGGGCCAGGGCCAGCGGAGTGCTCGCTCGGGTCGTCGTGGTCGTAGGAGTCGGCTTGTTCCTCGTACTCCTGCTCTGTAACACGAAATCAGCCTAGGATTACAAAGCCCTATACTTAAGAGGGGATAGGAAACGGGTCAGCTTGCCGAGTTGACTCATGTGGTCCGTGAACTGTGTCTGGTAGAAAGACGTAGGACCACTGCTCTGAGTTATGCCGTTACCGTTGCTGCCAACAGTAGACGCGTTTGCTATGCCATTTGCGGGAGCCTGGTTCGTTACGAGCGAAGGGCGCTGAGCACCCATCATGGGAGTAAAGTTTGATCTAGGCGGCTGTGGCCGTAGTGGCTGCTGCTGTTGGTGCTGCTGCTGTTGTGGAGGTATGGGCCCAAAGTTGGGAGACACTGATTGACCATGAGGTATGAAGCTGGGCGAGCGCGTTGCTGATTGAGCAGGCGACGAGAGATGCGAGCCAGGAGTGGGTTGCGACAGTGGTGAACGCTGAATCGGCCCATCCGGCTGTATCATGGGCAAGCCATTGACGCTATCAACCTTGGGCGGGCCTTGGAGCGAGCGCCGCTGTTGTTGTCTGTTCAATATAGCACGTTGTTGGAGAGGCGCCTGGTTGGGCGAGGTGTGTGCAGACGCTGGGGCTCTGGTCGGCCCCAGGTTTGGACTGCCAGTCTTCGCGCGCAGCTCGGCCTGGACGTCGATACCTGGTGGAGCAAGAGGTTAGCGTGTGTACCCTGATAGATAGACGTCTTGATAAGATTGGGGCTACCTTTCTCTAGCAGAATCCTCTCGAGTAGAGAATTCTTATACCGGAGCATAAGGCATTCGTCGGCGGCGTTGCGGTGACTGTTCTGCAGGTTCTGCAGCGTGTCCTCATGGTGCTTTATGGTGCTCTCGAGCTGCTTGATGTACTCTGTACGGCGCTCACGAAAGGCGGCTTGCGCCTGTCTATTGCGCTGCTTGCGCTCCTCTGAGGTGGCATATATCTTACGACGCTTGGTTAGTCCTATCTTCGACATAGTGATTGGCGATTCAATTGCTGCAGCCATGACAGGCAAGGCAATTGGCATCAGGAAGGCTCACAGGTTTACGGCCGCCTTTGCGCTTCTGCTGCTGGGGCTCTTCCTGGGTATATGTCTCCGCCAGACCAGGTTCGGGCGACGATCCGATAGAGTCGGTCGAACCATCGCGCGAAGCCTCTGCCTTGCCCACGGGGGCCGTCATATCTGTTACGAGACTATCTCCCATCTACGGCCACCGTACCCCTCCGTCCAGATAGAGGGGCACCGAGGCGCCAAGAGCTGCGAGAGATGCGACAAAGGCAGGTCGAAGGAGATAGCAGGAGGCTCTGGTCGCTTAGACGCGCTTGTGCTGGGCAGCCGCAGCGCCGGGTCGAAAATCGATACGGTTTGTATGGGGTTTTGATAATGTATGATAAGAAGAGGGCGTTCGGGCCT